CCCGCAGCCGGGCGGCCAGGCGGCGGGGGATGCTGCCAGAACCCGGGAAGCTGCTGCGGGGACCATGGCCGCACCGAGCCCGGGGCCCCGAGAGGTAGGTGCTGACCCGAGAAAGGACAAAAGAGGGAATGGTTAGGGAGCAGGAGCCGGGCCTCCCCTGCTCGTGCGGGGCGGACACACCCCCATCCAAGCTCCTGAGGGGTCCTGCACAGGGCGGGGACCAGGACACACCCCGCGTGGGAACCGCAGGTAGGAAGGGGCAAGTCTGGCAGGTATCCCCTGAGAACATCTTAAGTTTTTTTCACGGGGAAAATGGAAATAATAATAAAAGCTTCTCCTTCATAGGGCTGTTAGGAGGTCACACTCAGCCGGTGCTGGTCACATGGTGGGTGCCCACTGCTAATGGGTCAGCGGCTGACCTCAGCTTCCTGCTGACCTTCTGAGCTGGCTTGGAGGAACTCAGCAGAGATGAGTGGCATACTTGAGAGAGTCCCTCCGCCTCACAGCTCCTATCAAGGGTTCCTGGGCACAGAGCTCAAACTCAACAGTAACAACAGTTAATATCAGCCACAATGTTGTTATAGTTCTCATTTTACAGATGAGAAAATGAGGCCCAGAAGGTTAGGTGACTTACCTAAGGCCACACAGCTGGTGAGAGATAGTCTTGGGCCAGGTTTGGCTGCAGAACTGCATGCTCTGCCACTGCTATTAATAACCATCACTCTATTTTGGGTGCTGACTGCATGCTGGGGACTGTGTGGCCCCCATACCACCCAGTGAGGTGGGTACCAGCATTATCCATATTTTACAACTGAGGAAACTGAGGCAGAGAGAAAGAGGAGGGGCTCAAGGTAGTGGAGATGGGACTCCTACCCATGTCTTGCCTCTCTGCGTTGCTGCCACATGCTCATTGCTTCTTGTGCCTTCTGTCACCAGGTACTGGCCCCCTCCCCAGTGGCTGGACGCAAAGCAACCACCTCAAGTTCCGGACGCCGTGGCCTTCTCTGGCGTCTGCGGGACAAGCAGCTGCGCCTAGGCCTGTTTGAGATAAGCCCTGGACATGAGCTGCACCGGCTGGCGTGTATGATGCAGGCAGGGCTGTGGGCTGCCACCCAGGTCTCTATGGACCACCCGCCCAGGGTGAGTGGCCAGTCTGCCCTATGCACCAATGGCAATACCAGGCTGATGCCCTGTCTTGCTAATACTGTAGAGTTGGAGATCAGAAACGGCTATAAGGGGAGGAAATTAGGGGCTTGGTGCAGGGAGGGAGGGATATTCTGGGGTTGGGGCTGAGGTCAGGAAGCCAGAAAGTCCAGGGTGTGTTGAGGATGTGAGAAACCCCCTGACCCAGGTGGTTGCTGTGTAACTTTAGATGGGCCTCTGCTTCTCTTTGGGCCTCAGTGTTCCCATCTGTGTAACGTATAACGACTTTGGGGAAAGGGATTGTATTCCTTGGTCTCTGAGGCCTTCCCGGCTCTGCCGGGGTGTATGGTTGAGAAGGGACCCTACCCCCAACCCAGCCAGCATGGCCCATCCTCCCCAGAGCTCAGCTGGGGCCAGGCTAGCTCAGCAGAAACGGTTGTACAACTGCAAGCTCAGCAGCTGGATGGGCCCGGGTGAGCATGTGTGTTGTTTGAATGTGTGCACAGTGTGACCACCTCCCACAAGCACAGACACCTAGAGGTCCAGGGAGAGTACAGAGCCAGAGGGAGTCCTCTAAATCTCATCACCTGCTGAAAATCACAACCTGGCCTCATTACCTGGTGAAAATCTTCCTTGGCTCCCCAGTACTCATCACGGCCTCAGGATCCTGCTGGTTCAAGCCCAAGGGCCAACCGTCCAGCCTCATTCATACTCCATCCCTCCCTTATTCACTTAAGCCACTTGGGCCCTCATTCCCTTCCTGGTGGCCACCAACACAGTTCCCACTGCTGTGAGTACCCTCGTCCTCCTCTCCACTGCCTTTCAGATTTCAGCTTACAGGCCACCTCCCCCAGGAAGCCTTTTCTGATCCTGCCCCTCCCAGGCTGTCGGGCAGGTCTCTGGGCTTCCAGGCCATCACCTTTTACTGGGATGACATCCAGCTGCACTTAGCCAATGTGTGTGTCTGGGTGAATGTGCCAGGTGCTGGGGGCCCAGCTGTCGAGGAGACATACCCAGGACCTGCCTCAGGTCACTCTCTCATCTCCCTGGGAGGGGCTGCAGCCTCCATCTGCCCGACTCAGGCACACCCAGGGCAGTCCCTGTTTGCTGGCGGAATCAAATTGGGGGAAGCGGTGAGACCAGGTGCAAGACGCTCGGAGATCCTGGGGCTGGCAGTGGGGGGCTGAGACTTGCTCTGAGCCCCTCTGCCCCTCCCTGCAGGGGCTGCCTACTGAGGAGGATTTCTCTGAGGTCCTGACCCAGGTTCACGAGGTAGGAAGCCTCAGACTGCTGCATGGAGGGGGCGGATACCATCTTACTTCTCTCCTCAGTTTCCCCACGGGTACAGTGCCTCAAAAGGGTGTGGTTCACTGGGGCCAACTGCACACGCCTGGACCCCACGGACGCTCTTAGGGCTGCTCTCCCTCCCCTGCAGGGCTTCGAGCTGGGCACCCTGGCCGGCCCCGCCTTCGCCTGGCTGCGCCACTCTCTGGGCCTGGCCGAGGAGGACTACCAGGCCGCCCTGGGGCCCGATGGCCCCTACCTGCAGTTCCTCAGCACCTCCAAGAGCAAGGCCAGCTTCTTCCTGTCGTGAGCTGGCAGCAGGGGTGGGGAAGGGGCCGGCGTGGTGTCCCTGGGCGGAGGGTGGCATTTGGGGAGAGGATAAAGGCCAGGTCAGGGAGGGTCTCAGCTCGATAGATGTCAGAGGAGAGGCTGAGGGCGAGGGCCCGGCCCTGGGGAGACAGAGCCATGCAAGGACAGGAGGGGTCGGGGATCCGGGTGGGAGCCGCTCCAACCCGGCTAAGTCAGTGACCTCTC